TTCTCATAGACTTCTATACAACCAGAGGAGTCGCCCCCTGCTGGTCACTAGAGAGAATGCAGCTTTAAGACATGAAGCATTGGCTTCACTTTTCAGAACTGGAGGTTGCCACCTGGTTTCTGACCAAATACCTGCAAAACTGATGAGATTCCCATCAGCCTGTACAATGTGTTTTGTGCTAATTAGTAAACGTTAGCATGCAAACATGCTGAACTAAGATGGCCATTTTTTTATGCTTTTGTCATGCTTAAATGAATGTTGATTGATGCTTCAAAACACTAAAGTATTCTCATTTTTCTTTGTTTACAGCAGGTGTTCAGACAAAACACATGATGTTTTCTCTTTCTTCTCACTTTCTTTTCCAGACTGTGACTAAGTGCTCCAGCTTTGGTCGAGCCGTACCTTATAAACGAACTGTTTTTGATCTCAGCATGAGTGAAGTATGATAAATACAGGTTGATAATATTCATTTGTCACTCAATGCACGGTCACAGAGGAGGAAAAGTGACTGAGGTCTGCTTCCAATTAAATACTTCCCGTAGGCCTCTGATTCTATCTATGCTCATCTCATAAACAAAGGAGAAAAGTCTTTGAAAGGAAACGATGCCTTTCGGCGGGTTGCTTGGTAGGAGTCCACTTTGTTTATCTTCGGCTCGTGAAAGGGTTGAAGCTCAAATATTTTGCCTACATTTAGACTGAGAGGAACAGAGCTTCCCCTCACAGGCTGAACAAACATCTCCCCGAGGAGGAAGAGCTTCCACTGCTGTCTGCTTTTTACTTTGCCCTGGAGAGCCGATACCATGCTGGACAAATAAATAAAGTTAGAGTTTAGTCGTCTAATTCTATCTCTCAGTAGATCTTCCTGGAAACCATGATAAGTAAAGGAGGAACTTAGTGAGTGTAATTCAGGTAATTCAGTTATTAGTTTTAAGTGAATACACTTAGGGCTGTCCTGGACCAAAGAAATCCTTAGTCGACTAACAGTCATACGACTTTGGAGACTGATGGATTAGTTCATTTAATTGAAAGATCTGTAAGCCCCTAGAGCCCCTAAACTCTCACTCATAGACAGCAATTAAGAATCAAAATGTAAAAGGTCCATGACCGATTTTTCGTGGAAGGCCTTCTGATGAAAAGGATTAGAGTGTGGCACACATGAAGTCCACAGAAGGGCTGAACGTGTTAATCAAAGTACTAATCAAACATAAACACGGTCTCTAGACAGTTCCAGATAACGGATATAAAGATTGTGTAGATTAGATGAGAGGCTTCCTGTCGCTACAGACGGAGCAACAGTTAAACAAGCAAATTCTCAATTATAGAGTTGATAGTTGATCTACTACAACAGGAGCTGATTCAGAGCTGCATTACTGGAATAAAAAATGTTTCCATGCTTCAAAGTCTTGGTCGGTTCTCGCCAGCCTGAACTATATCCAAACAAAAACATCTAGACAGACAAAACTATATTTATTATTCAAGCAAATACATGCTGGGCAGCATGGAGGAGCTTCTTCAAAGTTCAAGTTAAACAGCGTCGTCTTCTTTAAACACTTCACAGTGTGATTCAGAGCAGCATCTATATCAAACACAAACACCCGGTGACATGTTGATATTAGCGCCACGATAGAAAATAAAGTGTCCACCAATGCACCGCTTCATCACCGAGACAAAAGCCAGTTTCTCAATGGAACATTTGACCAAACGTTCGTGAGATTCGCATGCCTGTTTTCAAAGTGATAAAGAGGATTTTTCCCCTTTGGCCCGCGGACAACTTCCTGTACCACCCTGGACGGTAAATTAGGGGAAAGAGGCTCTGAGTCATCGAGAGTAAAAGGCTTTCGTTATTGACAGTTCAGCACTTATTCTATCGTAAAGCCGAAATCCAAACGTAAACACAGGAGGGTAGAAAAGAAGAAAGGCTGGAGAAAAGTCAACAATATCAAATTAAAAGCCTCAGCTCAGGGTGATCAAAAGGAACGAAGAAAAGGAACCACTTATCCGTTTTAGTTGTCATTTTATTTCAAAGTTATTGTTTTCTATTTCAGTTTTTTTATGTTATTTCTTAGTCTCAAGTTGTGTTATTATCAGCTCGTCAGAGAAACGTTTTAGAATTTAATTAACCTGTATGAGAATAAAGTTTGATTGATTATGAATTGTAAATATGCAGGTCTAAGTATATGGATTAAACAAACAAGATATAATATCTTGTGTTGGTAGGCAGATTTTGATACCACAGGCTAGCTTTTAGCCCCGTTTCCAGTCTTTGTACTAAGCTAAGCTAACCGTCTGTAGCTTCATATTTACCCCAGAGACATGAAAGTGGCGATAAATTCATCATTGAAGTCTTATTTCACAGAATCTCCAACTTTTCCTTCAAACCCGTCTCTTTAAAACCATTCCTGTTAACCAGCTGTTTGCATGTGGATGGTTATCAGAGTTAATTACATTAAATGAAGCGCTACTGTTGTCTTATAATGCTAAGACTAGATGTCAGCCTGGATGAACTCTACTTTTGATGTTAGACTCATTTACAAAAGTTACGACAGATTAGGGGAAGTTATATTGATACAATAAACTAGAATAAATACCATAAATTAACCTGGTAGATAACCACTTTTACCATGTGAAACATCACGACTCATAAACCTGGATATCATAAAACCTTTCACTTTCACTGCATGGTGGTAAAGCTTAGAAATGTCCAATTTCACACGGGTCACCTGAATGCACCATTACAAAAGTGAAAGTATCTCTTTGAGTTATTTGTTGTTAAACATCGGCATGCAGATAACAATTAATAACATATATACAATAAAAATAACAGAAAATATAAAATTAACAATATATACAATGAAATAGAATAATATTGAATGAACTAACTAAACAATAGTGCAAAGATTTAGTTAACCAAGCAAACAAACAAACATGGATACTTAAGCTAACCTACATACAGTGTATAAAGTGGACATCTTTTGTCATCATTCAACGGCCACGGCGGGCATTCAAGTACGTTAGTTTAATCTTACCGTAATCCTTGTGGTGGAGAAGCTGCTACTTTACGGCAGGCGGCATCCACCATTTAAACTAGCCACTTGAGCTCACGTGTTTCGTCTTCTTCCTCCTCCATCCGGGGTTTCTTTGAATATATTTCTCACGAATATTTGCTTTCACATGTTCAAAAGTTACCACTAACCGATTAAAGTAAAAACTATTTTTGTTTTAATTTCACACCGCAAAATCGATTTTCTTTCCGAATTCAGACTCTTCGAAACGCTTTACGACAGCGGAGAGCGGAACAGCGCATGCAAACTTTATCAGACGCAACTGTCAAAGCCCCGCCCACATGCATATTAGAGACTTTTTATTGGTCAGAATATACGATTGACGTTCCTAGCAAACAAATCATATTGACGACCGTTGAAAACAATCCAGTTTGATTGGGTAGACCTACGATACGGATTTATTTACATTTTTTCTAGTAAAGAATCAGTAAATAGCTGCCGATTCATTTTTTTGACATTCAACTAATCAATTAATTGATCGTTTTCAGCTCTTACGTGTGTGGCATACAGCTAAACAAATCAATAAGAGATGGCAATCTGAAATATAACTTCTAACATTCAAATTTATCCGTTTTTCTTATAAGAAATCCCACGTTGTATTTCTAAAAATAAAGGAAAATAAGAAATATAGCCTGTATCTGTAACGGCATATCTAACCCCAAACTACAAAGAATACAGAATTAAATAATATATCAATACAAACATTCGTCTACACTCTAGACGAATGTTTGTGCAATACTCAAGACAAATATTAGAAAATGACATTCAGTTTATTCTCATATCATTAAGTGCTGTTTCTTGCCCCAAAACTCCAAACATTATACAAAATGTACAGAGCAAAGAAATCATATTACGGTATTACTGAATAATGAGGTGACAACGAGGGCTGGTGTGAATACTACGTTCAGAGGTTTACATGTTTTTGTACATAAAATAATGTCCCACACAGTGTTTACGTGTAGAAAATGGCCTTCATTTGGTACAAAATATTGCTCACATGACGTTACAAAAATCACAGGGTGAGTTATCAAACACATTAAAATTGTATGAAACTGTGGATCCCAGTGTAGCCCACTACATTTATTCAATTATTTATCAAAAAAAAATAAACAGTATGTATATTAAACTTCCACATCAGAGTGTCACAGTTATTAATTTCAGTGCTTATAGGCCAGCTTTCAGCCTTTTCATGTTTAAAATTAATAGATATTTTTGTATTGCACCACAGAACCTGGGATCAATACAGAAAACATACTGTTTAAAATATCCAGCTTAGTTTTTGTTGTAACAAAAATATTCTTAGTGTTAAAAACAGTCACAGAATAAGACACAATCACACAAACAAGAGGGAATTTAAAGTGCAAACCACATAGAAAGGGTAAAGGGACGGGTTGGATTGCTTTATAAAAACTCTTTTTGACATCCTACATATATATATACTTCATTTAATCATTCTTCATATGAATAGAGCTTTTTGTTTCCTGACCTTTTTGTAGTGTTTGTCTTCCTTTATTCTTAGCTTGAAGGAAAGATTCCCCTCTCAGACACTGTTACACCGAACGTCACTGAGTGAAGACATCGGACTTTGTTAAGTCATATTCATGTTTCTCTGTCACTCACAGTTATTAATCATCATTTTTTAAGAACCCTTCAATCGACATTTAAAGAAATAGTTCAATATTAAAAATAGAAAATATGCTTATTTGCTTTCTTGCTGAAAGTTAGATGATAGCGCTCTCGTCTCTGTGCTGTAAACACGAAGCAAAAGCTAGCAGTCTGTTAGCTTAGCTTAGCTTAGCTGAAGACAGGAAACAGCTAGCTACAAATTAAATCTTATCCGTTTCATGTAAAAACGACAAATTATGTTAGTTTTTTTGGGCCGGGCGCAGTCACTTCCTGTTTGCTGCGTACAAATTTTAATTAGTGAGCTTTAGAGGAGATGGTAGGCGGATTTTGTTACCTTTAGACAGAGCTAAGCTAGGTGTTTCCAGTCTTTATGCTAAGCTACGCTAACAGGCCGCTTGCCTCTAAGCGTATTTCCTAAAAAGTCAAACTATTCCCATAGCATGTTATGACAGTCAACAGTGTTTCAGTGTTTTTTTAGAGTGGATTAATCCTTTTACATTCAATAAACTTATGATAGTTAGCATCAGGCTTGTGAAACAAACAGGAAACACTCCTGCTTTACCCGAAAGGCTTTAAGTTGCAGTTCCTAAAGTGACCACTAGATGTTCACTACAAGACACTTCAACTATTGAAGTCCTTTTAAAAGTCCAATACTCCAAAACCAAATATTTCCCACTTGTTTTAAAGAGTTTGTTGATAGAGTGCTGCAGGGATGACGATATAATATCATAATCTTCACAAATGAACACCACTTTTATGATTTAAAAAGCTAAAGTGAGGCTGAAAACAAACTACACATGACTTCACGTTTAGTCATCTCATTTAGACTATTTTTTAAGACACGAAAAAGCTTCTAAATTCACCAGAGGGGTTTTTACTGACATGTTTTATATCGTAGAACAAAACTTTAAAATTTCTCCAGCTTGTGTTGAACACAGACCTGATTTCTGGCATCTAACCAAAAAACATATTCAGAAAATGCTGAGTCATTTCCGTGTTTTTCGGACTCATTCCTGCAGCACTCTATTGTCTTCATTTAGGAGACAATATGGCATGTGTCTTCTTCATTGGTGTCTCCGCCTATCAGGCAGCCATTGTTGTTTTGTTTCGCGTGTCCCGTTTCACTCTAGTGGCAAAGATGGTCGTGGTAAACCAAAGTCAAGGCAATAAATTGTCCCTTCACAAGTCTTTGAGTGACTTTGCAGACACAACAGTCATGTTTTTTTCCTCTGGTTTAAAAAGCACCAACCAAGTGGCAAAACCTAAAAGTCCTTCATGGTTTCATATTAGGCATTGAAGCTTCGGTTGTGCTTCGGTTTCCTCGACCTGCAACATTTAACCAGCAGCACCGACACGATCACCGCCACCAACCCTATCACCAAGACAGCTATGACGTAGTTCTGGACCCCCGATGTGTGACACATTTCCTGGGTCACCTTCTCGATGTTGACCGGCTCCGAGTACTCCTCGTGAACGCAGGTCACGGTCTCGATGTCGGGAACGACCACGGCCGAGTTCTGCACCATGTGGAGGAAGTCCAGGTTGCTGCAGCAGCTCAGAGGGTTGGAGCCCATGTAGAGGGTTTTTAGCGAGTGCTCCAGAGCGAGCATGGTGCTGTACTCCAGGGTGACCAGGTGGTTGTTCTGCAGATTCAGGGACTCGATGGAGGAGTCTTTGTTCCACATCGGTAGAGCGGTCAGCTGGTTGGTGGACAGGTCTATGTGTTTGAGACTCCTCAGCGACGACAAGTCTGTGTTTAGACTGGAGATGTTGTTTTCCCTCAGGAGGAGGTGGACCAGGGAATGCTCCAGACCGGAGAGGGAGTCCTTGTCCATGTCCAAGCCCGGGTTCAGGGACAAGTCCAGTAACGTCAGAGGGGTGTTGGAAAACACGTTCGCAGGCAGAGTCCTCACATTGTTTTCAGACAGATCCAAGTACTGCAAGTTCGGTATAGAAGCAAAGGAGACGCATCCCGGTGGATCCTGGTGGTTCTGGTCCGAAGAACAGATCTGCAGGTTATTCTGCTGGAGCTGCAGGTGTTTGATGCTCGGAAGTCTTTGAAATATACCGTGGTCCAGGGTGGCGAGGTCGTTTCCATGTAGGACGAGCTCTTCCAGCGATTGCAGAGTGTTTTCCCCGAACGTCAGGCTCTGCAGCGAGTTATGGCTGAGATTGATGATCTTCACGGTCCGTAGAAGGCCTTCGTTAGTGACAGAGAACGAGCTGATGCAGTTATTGCTCACGTTCAGGACCTCCAGTGATGCCATGCAGTAAAAAAAGCACTCTGGTATGCTTTTGAGTTGGTTGTAACTCATGTCCAGGTATCTCAGGTGAGAGAAAAACGCCTTTTTTTCAGGAGTCCCCGTGACGTTGACGCTCTGGAGTTGGTTCCGTGAAACGTCCAGGTGTTCCAGCCTGTTGTTTCTGGGGAGACGGGGAAAGTAAAGCATTTTGTTTTCACTCAGGTCGAGTGAGAGGAGGTTGTAGTAATCCGCTGACGTCGCGCTTTGGAAAAGCTCCATGCTGTTCTTGCTGAGATTGAGCACTTTCAAGTTGCAGAGGTTGAAGTCTGTGATGCAGGTGATCGAGTTCTTGGACAAATCGAGTTCAGTCAGACGGTTCAGGGAGTCGAAAGCGCCGTCTTCGATCTCCAAGATCACGTTGTTGTGCAGGCCGATTTTTCTCAACGACGAGGATCCGCTGAAGGTGTTCTGTGCTATTTTGGTGATGCTGTTTCCGTTCAGAGAGAGGTTCTCCAGCGACGGAGAATCCGCCAGGAAATAGTCCGACATCCCCGTGTACAGCCCGTTGCTCGACAGGTCGAGCGACTCCACGGCCGTGAGAGGCCCGATGTTGATTTTGGAGAGAGCGAAAACATTCAGATGATTCCTGGACAGGTCCAAGACTTTCAGATCCGTCATGTCTTTGAAGAGCCCTGGCTGGATGAAGTGGATATTGTTGGAGTGGAGGTTCAGGTGACGGAAGCCGGTGTGGTACGCCAGAGTTTCCCGGGTGAGATTCTGCACCTGGTTACGAGAGAGGTCCAGCGTCTGCACGCCGCGAGGGAGGTCGACCGGAGCACTTCTGAGGCTCAGGTCGCTGCAAAACACATCCATCTGGACCTGAAGAACAAAAGACAAGCACACAAAGTCTGATTATGCAGCCATGACACAATACAGAGCAAATGTTTAAAGAGTATGCGGAGGGTCGGTTTATTGAGCATGTTCTTGGCAGCAACACCGTCCTCTGAGGTTTACGATGGCGAGTTGTTCTAATGAGAAGAAATACTTTTCCTCTTGAAATCTATTCACTGTTTTAATGACTCAATCTCTAGTTCGTTAAGCAACACAATAAAAGAAAGATACGCCGTCATCTTCTCTTCTTTTACCCTCATAGATTCAAATATCTACGTTATTAAGAGCAGTTTATTATAGAAACCATATGGCCAGAGACCCCTTTCTGTCCAACAACAGCTCATGAAACTGTCTCCGTCCCTGTTTTCTCTCTGAGGCAGAGTACGTGCAGCTTCTTGGCATATTCGTGGTATCCTGAGGTTGGCATTCCTCGTCTCTTACAAGCCGGCCCGTAAACAAACACACTGATTTATTGTGGAGGGGCAGAACATCTCGTGTCTGTTGTCAGGCGTCGTTGAACAAATCTGGCATATTTTAAAGAAAGTGTCATCATTGAAAAACTCTGAAGTTAAGTCTTTGTGTGCACAACATCTGATATACGCGTGTGTAAATGTACACAAGAACATTTACTCAAGTACTGATTTAAGTTAAACTACTTTATTGAGTATATCCATTTTCTGCTGCGTTTAACTACATTTATTCAATAACTTTCACTACTTTCCAGATTAAGATTAAAAAATGTAATCATCAAATAAAATATATTATTCTTGGTAAAGGTAAAACTTAATTTATCTCCAAAGGGAAATTTATAAGCAGTACATAAAATGAGTGTATCCCCACCAGTAAAATTAAAGTGATGAAACACATTAATGCATCAATAATTACAATCAAATAATATAATACACACTTTTCTGCATGATGAGTACGTTTACTCTTGGTACTTTTTTCTTAACCCTGAGTAGTTTTGTTGCCTAAACATAACTTCCTGTGAAAATGGAAGTTTATTTCAAAAAGACACTGTACGCATGTAATAAGTGTAAACAAACACGTCCCGACACGCCCACAACCCGATGCTTGAGGGGAACGTAGAGGACCTGCTTCTGGTGTAGATATGAAGGGCTCATTCTAAGCTCACGAAAACACAACGATTCTTAGATTCAGGTGATTATACGCCGATGAAAACATAGTTATGAATGTTATGTTACATTTCTGCTAATAGATCCCCTAAATGCTACAAACCGGCCCTTTAGGAAAATGGGACTAAGTCATGTGGCCCTCTTGACTTGTCTTAGGACCCTCAGGGTGCCTTTAGGAACCAGTGGTGTAGGGGAGGTTAAGGAGCCAATAAGAAATATTGTGTTGTGCTTTTATTAGACAGCAGCAGCCCAGAGGTGACATATGGGGAATGAACCACACAGACTACAGAGTCTTTGAAACAGGTTCAGTCAGATCACCCACACACACACGCAGCAGTGAGTATACCCGACTTCATTAAAAGCTCTTCTACGTACTTGCTGATCTTTCCAAGGAAAAGAAAATCCTCCAGCACACGGGAAGTGATGCGTGTCACATTTCCACTTCATGACATAATTAGAACAAGTTCTGCCTGGTTGGCATGAGAAGCCAAAAAGTAGAACATGATTCACTAGAAAAGATGTCACAGTCTACCGTGACCTCTGCAGACAATAACCCATTCTTCTTCTTCCAGAGAAGCCAAATAATGTTTCTCTGTCCAAATATTGAAGCCTGAAGGTCTGACGGCAGCACAGCTTAAACTATTAAACCAGATCTGCTGGTCAAGAGCTTTCAAATAAACCGTCGGCCTTTTCTGGGGATAATCTGAAAATAACTCAAACACCTGATGGATTAGGTGCTCTCATCTCCATTTTTTAAATAAACCAAAAACAGATGAACACATATTCTGTGTTTATTTGACTGGAGATGTGAGGGAAAGATGCAATAAAACTGAAAAAGGAAATCTGAACTGTGTAGGTTTTTACTTACAACTTGGCATGCTGGGAGGTGTCGGGGAGGATGTGCGGACGCCGCCACGCAGCTGACCAACAGCGGGAAGAGCAGCTGGAAGGCAGCCATGGTGCTGCAGCACAGGGAGAGTCCAGATCAACACGGGTTAGAAACACACGAATGCAGGAAGCATGCTGCCGGTGATATGACTCGAAAAAAGGGAAGGAAGCTGGAGGTAGCCCTACCTACCGTGTGACATGCTGACCTATGACGGTGCTAGTTATGCCCTGAGACACAAACAGGGGCTTTTTTTGTGACATTTCTATTTTATACTGAATTTAGCTGCAGAACCGGCAGAACCGAGAACGAATGACTAAGAGAACGTGTGTTTCCGTGAGCTCTGAGTAAATGTTATCAATTCTACACTGTAGCTTATCGTTTCGGTGAGTCACTTTTTACAAGGTCTGTGCCTTGTTATATTTTGCGGAAACTTGCTGAAATATTTCCTGATAGGCTCCCCTGAACAAAACAACAACTTGTAGGCTTGGAGGGTAGACAATGTGGGAGTAGTTAGCATCGCTGTAATGGTAAGTACCATAAAGGTTTGCAGACAGCTTATAAAAAAAACACCCAGTTGGGGTTTTCAATTTGAAAATGCAAGCAGCTGTTGCTCTGAAATCTCACTTAATTTTAATTTGTTATTAATTTCATTGTTAAAAAACAAACTTCCCTCAACTCTCATGCAAGACCTTCACATAAGAACAGAGCAGCTCTTTGAAACTCTCCCAATTCAATAAAGAGATTCATCACAGTGCTCTCATGTGACAAAAATACAGACACATCATTCATCAATTCATCAAAACATCTGGATTATTGTTGAATAAGCACCTTAAAATGTGCTTTAAAATGTGGTTAAAGGCATCAAAGGGCTGCACGGCTTCTTTTTAATGACGTGGAAAGTCGAAGACACAAAGTTTATCCTCCGAGTTATTTGCAGAACACTTTTAAACATTTACAACCTGATAAAACATTGTGTCCGTTACTCAGAACGATCAACACTCTATCTGAAGCTAGGAATGGACTTCCAGGTACTGTACCGAAGTGTAATTTATGTGTAATTAATGTTTACTTGAGTGGTTAAATTTTCATTTTCATTTCAGAGGGAAACATTTTAATTTTTACACCACTAAGATTATTTGACAGCTATAGTTACTCGTGATTTTGTCCCGACCCTTTCTCCAACTAAATTATGTTTTAATGCAACTAAACTGCACTAAATATAAACACACAATATAACACACAATATAAACATCAATCCAACCCTCAGATTCATCTGGTGACCCTTTGGAGGGGCCCGACCCAGAGGTTGAGAACCACTGGACTGAACCACCCAGCAGTAAATGAAGTAGTTAAAACTAGCTCCAGCAGCAGCTACCACAATAAAACGCTACTTACACACTGATGCTAACCTTACAATGTTATTTATGAAAACATATCCGTCACAGAACGAGTACTTCATACTTTTTTGCTGATAATACTTGTGTACTTTTGCTCACTTTTTCATTCAGGGGAGCTGTGAGTATTTTATTTTGGAGGTATCATGATCCACAGACTATTTACAAAGTAGTACTTTCTCATTTCATTTCTCTTTTTCTGCCCCATCACTGCTGATTCTCCATCTTGTTAAATTATATATTTTGTTTAAATTCAGATTATTTAACTTAAGCAGAAGTAGTAACAACACAATGTTAAAATACAGAGGTTTTACCTGAAATATGTACTTACATCGTGTTTTTCTTGTAAAATCTTCTCTGCAAACTAGCAACCGATACTTCTGTACTTTTACTTTTTAAAAGGATCTGAGAACTTCTTCCTACGACTTGTCAGCATGCACACATCTGTTCCCAACAACCAAACCGTGCAACAGCAACAAGCTCAACAATTACCTCCCTTTCATCTGATAACTAGTCTTCACGCAGCCTCCTGACCATGTTGATTTCACATCCTCAGCGCGCTCACACCCACTCACAGATCGATAGTAACCGAGCAAAACACGCAAACCAGAGAGCTCCTCTCAGCTGACTCTTCAGCTCCGGCTGCTGTCCAGCCATCACATCCTGTGAGAATATCCTGCACCCCCCCCTCCCTCCCACTGTTCTCAGGGAAATGCCTTATAAGGGGGTTGGGAAGTCCAGTTTTATGCTTCACTTCAAGGAGACGCAATTCTTCCCCCCCCTTTCCCTCCCAAAAAAATGCCCTCTATTAATCCTAAAGTTTCCTCAGAAATAGTTTGGCTGTTCTCACACACCATTTGGAATTTGGGGTATTTTAAAAGTCCTGCATGTGTTTCTTATCTAAAACAGCCTTTTATGGATGAATGTTTGAAAAGAGAGAATGGAGAGAGACAGAGGTCAGGGAAAGAGAGAGACATACACTGAGAGAGAGAGAGATACACAGAGAGAGAGAGCGAGAAAGAGAGAGAGAGGACAGGGAGAGAGAGAGAGAGAGAGAGAGGACAGAGAGACACTAAGAGAGAGAGAGGACAGACACTAAGAGAGAGAGACGGAGACAGAGAGAGGGAGAGAGAGGACAGAGGGAGAGAGGACAGAGAGAGAGGACAGAGAGAGAGAGAGACACTAAGAGAGAGAAAGACAGAGACAGGGAGAGACAGAGACAGAGAGAGGGAGAGAGGACAGAGAGAGAAAGACAGAGCGAGAGAGAGGACAGAGAGAGAGAGAGACACGAACAGAGAAAGAGACGCAAAGAGAGAGAGAGAGAGAGAGAGAGAGAGAGAGAGAGAGAGAGAGAGAGAGAGAGAGAGAGAGACACTGAGAGAGAGAGAGAGAGTATAAAGTCAGCAGCAGGTATTGATGGATTTATAGGAACACAGTGTGGGTGTGTTAATCACACATCCTTTTCATACTGTGGGAGTGCGTCTGGTTTGTCATGTGACGTTTCCTCTGGTTTGGTTCACCACACTGTAAACAAACAACAGTGTAATTATGAGTAGAGTTCACACATCCAGACTCTGAGTGTACGAGAGTCTCCGGAGGTCTCCGACATGCTGGGAAACGCTTTCTCCTCCGTTAATGGTGACGTACTGTGTGAGGGTCTCAGGCAAAGAAAAGTCACCTTTTATTTTGGCGGTATGATAAGCTGCAGATGTTTACTACTAAAAAAGCTAAATATTCTTGAAATGTCATAAACACACTGGTGTCCATACCTCAGTTTATTTATTTTATTTTAATATATTTTGTATGTTAAGACATTTTCATTTTGATTTCAAAACTATCCTTGGAATTGGAAAAACAGTCGAACTCCTTTGACTGTTAAATATTTTAGTTTTGCATTTGTTCTCGTCTTTCGTGCTGACTCACTCTGGAAACAGCCCGGAAGCTTTTTTTTTTTTTAAGTTTTAAAGTTCATCTAATCTCTAAATCTGAGAGCATGTTCAGTTACTAAATAATATTTTGGTTGGTTCTCTTCTGTAGCATAAAAAATAAATAAATAAATAAATTTTTAAAAAAATTAAAAAAAAAAAAAGATTGTTCCATGTTGTTATTATTGGTGTCAGTGAAGCATTTGACTGTTTTTGATTCAAATTTTAACTACTTTATATACTTTAATGCCACAAAGAACATGAAGAAGAATGTCTTCATCGGCTGATGAGGACTGTGTGATGTGCTTGAAAGCTCCGGTAAAAGCTAGTAAGTGGACTTTTAGGATTGTCATGAAATGAACTATGACGCTTTGTATTTTAAGACGACACAAACGACAAATCCATGAATACAATCATAAAAGCAAGGCGCCAACTGCTGCTGAAGAAGACAGTAAGATGTGATTGAAAGCCCCGGAAAGAGCTAGTAAGAGGGCCTTGAGTTGAGAATGTTTTGTCAAAAGTACTGTTACCAACGTAAATGTAAGAATTTTACTTTGAGTACAATATTCATCTCCAAAATTCAGTGGAGGATGAGGTAAAAACAACTCACCATTGTACTTAAGTACAGAACTTAAAGAGTAAATGTATTTAGTTACTCTCCATCACTTCTAGTCAAGCATGTAAAACTGGAGAAAAATACTAAAACTTTTTGTGAATAAGCCTAGAAGAACTCAGAAGAAAAAGCAGCAGAAGAAGAATCAGAAGAAAAAGAGACAGCAGAAAGAAGACACAGCCGAAGAAGAAAAAGAGGCAGTAGAAGAAAAAGAGCCAGCAGAAAGAGGACACAGCAGAAGAAGAAAAAGAGCCAGTAGCAGAAGAAGAAAAAGAGGCAGTAGAAGAAGAAAAAGAGCCAGTAGAAGAAAAAGAGCCAGCAGAAAGAGGACACAGCAGAAGAAGAAAAAGAGCCATTAGAAGAAGAAGAAAAAGAGGCAGCAGAGAAGAAGACGAAAAAGAGGCAGTAGAAGAAGAAGAAAAAGAGACAGTAGAAGAAGACACAGCAGCAGAAGAAAAAGAGGCAGTAGAAGAAGAAAAAGAGACAGTAGAAGAAGACACAGCAGCAGAAGAAAAAGAGGCAGTAGAGAAGAAAAAGAGGCAGCAGAGAAGAAGAAAAAGAGGCAGCAGAGAAGACGAAAAAGAGGCAGCAGAGAAGACGAAAAAGAGACAGTAGAAGAAGAAAAAGAGACAGTAGAAGAAGACACAGCAGAAGAAGAAAAAGAGACAGCAGAAAGAAGACACAGCAGAAGAAGAAAAAGAGGCAGTAGAAGAAGACACAGCAGAAGAAGAAAAAGAGCCAGTAGAAGAAGAAAAAGAGACAGCAGAAACAAGACACAGCAGAAGAAGAAGAAAAAGAGGCAGTAGAAGAAGAAAAAGAGGCAGTAGAAGAAAAAAAAAGAGGCAGTAGGAGAAGAAAAAGAGGCAGTAGGAGAAGAAGAAAAAGAGGCAGTAGGAGAAGAAAAAGAGGCAGTAGGAGAAGAAGAAAAAGAGGCATTAGGAGAAGAAAGAGGCAGTAGGAGAAGAAGAAAAAGAGGCAGTAGGAATAGAAGAAAAAGAGGCAGCAGAAGAAAAAAAAAAGAGGCAGTAGGAGAAGAAGAAAAAGAGGCAGTAGGAGAAGAAAAAGAGGCAGCAGCAGAAGAAAAAGAGGCAGTAAGAGAAGAAGAAGAAAAAGAGGAAGAGGCAGCAGAAGAAGAAGAGGCACAAAAAGAAGAAGAAGCACAAGAAGAGGCAGTGGTAAAAGAAGAAGTCGTAGTAGTAGTAGTAGTAGTAGTAGTAGTAGTCTTACCTGGTGTCTTCTTCTGCAGCGTCTCGTACATTCGTAGCAGGTTTTGTTTCACATTCATCATCCTTTTATCTTCATTATACTGCATCAGTGGTGTCATGTGTACACACACACACGCGCACACACCTTTCGGGGGTTAGTCCCTCTTTTTATTTCCCGGGGTTCCCGGCCTTATTTTGGTTGTTTCCCTTTCAGTTGACGGTTGTGTGGAGGCCTTTTCTTTTCTCTTTCTCTTTCTCTTTCTGTTTCTGTTTCCTGGAAGAAGGGGCCGGTGAGATCAGAGGGATGTTATTCCAGATCATTAATCAGTAACACGATGAGAGAGTCTTCACCTTGTGGAGCTCAGTCCTGCCTCCTGCTGCTCACACTCACACACTGCAGCAGTTATACCTGCTGTGTTTATCAAGTACTTCCATGCACTGGTAGGAAGTAACGAAGTATATACTCAAGTACTGTATTTGAGAGCAATTTTGATGTACTTTACCTGAGTATTTCCCATTTGAACGCACTTTATACTTCGACTCCACTACATCTTGGAAGCCCACATTTTACTGCACTATATATTTAGTATCAAATTCATATTATTCATACAACATATAAATGAACTAATACATAAATATGTGCTGTTATTATTAGTTAAGTAAAGAGCATTTAACGACGTCTTACAGCTCATTGGTGTCTAGACGAGTAACAGTTAACACTACAGTGACGTACAATAAAAGAGATGTATAATAATATAACAGCTTCAGAGTAAACACGTCACCGGTTCGATTCCTGGTGGAGACCTCTGTTCTCAGTCGTCCTCCTCTCGTCTCCAAACTGTTTCAAGGGAGTCTCGGTGAATGGAAGAGAAAAGAAACATGTTTTGTTTTTAATAGAACATCGGAGTAGAAATAGAAAACAATAAAAGTCCATCTTACGTTTGCAGGAAGTTCTTCGTATCAGCTGGAAATTGTCAGAGGATCTCGGATTTTAAATCCTTTACTAAATCACCAACAAGTCTTCATCGGGGTATAAAGTGTGGTGAGGACAGGTGTTCAATTATTTTTCTTCTAAAGTCTTTAAAAATATATATAAAAAATATTTGGAGAAATAAATACTGATGGAATACGGAGACAGAAAAGCATTGAACTCGCTAAAAAGGTGTTTCAAAACTGTATAAAATAAACATGACAATATAGAATGGCAACACAGTATTCCTCAGGAAATATATGATTTTGACATAAAACAATGGAAATACTCAGATAGGATCACGTTAATAATCAATATTAACTGTTAACATTAAGAAACAGAGCAGACTTTCACCTATATTTATGATTTAATAGCTTGATGTTTGTGTCTTCATCTTATTCAAAGAGAAACTGAATCAAAGTGTGATGAGAATAAAATAACCAGAACAAAACTCATAATTGGCCAGGAATAGGTTTTATATAAAATTTGAACAGTGGATACAGAGGCGATATTATGTGTATAAAAAAATACATACAATAAAAGGAAAATAAATGAATCTTATCTTTTGTTTTTTCTACTTTGAGCAGGTGTTCAAGTTAGCTGATGAAATGTAAAAGGCACTAAATGTACAACATTCCAGTTTTAAAGACGTTAAACAGAGAGAGAGGCCAAGGTCACTCGGAGATGAACGAAAAACACAAAAAACAAAAAACATCACAGGGAATTTGTTTGTCTTTGATTTGCAAGACGTAGTGCAGATTTTACAACATAACATACCAAACAACACACAACTATTTACCATCGAATAACACGAAGCGCGCACTTCTTAAGACTCGTCGTGAGAGGACTGAAAGCTGCCGACCGGCATCCACACAGAACTCAAAGACACCGGCGAGCATCGGCCATCTTTCATAATTTATAGTTTACATCACAATTTCTACAAACAGCACTAAACAACTGCAACGAGTCACGGTTAGGAGCAAAGCGACCAGCAGTAAAGGTTTGTCGGTATCATACAGGTTGCTTTTTGGATATTTTGGTGAACACATTGAACCTCATGCTGTAAACTGGGAGGAAGAAACAAAACATTAAAAAAAGGTGGAAACACAGCCGACAGACGACAGCGTCTGCATCGAGTGGAGAGCCGAGTCAAAGTGGAGTGAATTAAGATTCTCTAGTTGTGAATGTAAATACGTATTTAGCGCTCAAAACTTAAATCTGGAGACTTAAATTAAATAACAGGAGACCACAGTTCAGGTTCCTGTTGGCCAGAGTTTTTCATAATTAACTGAGAAGCTTTCCTACATTCTAATTAATAAGTTGTTTGGTCAATAAAATAGTTAAACTGGTCTCAGGTGACGTCCTCAAATGTCTTGTTTTTACCACAACTCAAAGATATTCAGTTTACTGTCACAGAGAAGTAAAGAAACCAGAAAATATTCACATTTAAGAAGCTGCACTGAGACGTCTTTTTCTTTAAAAATGACTCAAAGCGATTAATTGATTATTAGCATAATCGTTGCAGCTCTAAATGCCAGAACGTTATGCTAAGACACCCAATGTTAGCATGTTAGCAGGTTTTCAGCTGAATTCTTGTTTTCTCCTCCCTTCGCTGCAGTGATGCAGAACTGTACTCCTGGGTGTGTCAGTACACTATGACATTACTGTTTCTTACATTGTTAGCATGCTAAAAATGCTAAATGTTAACATGCTAACTGTTGGCATGTCAAGGCTGAAATTTTTTAGGGGGGGGGGGGGGGTTGTGATTTTTAGTAGTCATTCATAGTGGAGCATTTAGCAGCTAAAGAGACAGATGTTTGTGGGTGGAGACCAAAAACGGAGCTAAAAGAGAGAGAATATTGGACTGTCATGTTGCTCTGTAACTGCTGGATGTTTAAATAAACAACTTTCCTATCAAGCTTAGCATAATCTACTTAATGGTGATGACGTGTCAGTGTTGTGTTCACAATTTGTTTCTGCTGCCCCCAAGTGGCCAAGAAAATATTTTTGGATTTCATACAAACGAGGTCTTAAAAGCTCAAGAAATGTCACGTTATTTCAGTTTTATTTTGTGCACACTTTAAAACTAAAGAAAGTTTGATTCACGCCATTTTTAAATCGACCCGGCTCAACACTCCCTGCAGGCACTGTACACGTTGGAGTGTTGGCTGACAAATAATAATAAAGACAAAAAAAGAGAGAAAACATCGAGCATGCCACCAACTTTCTAGACCTCTACAGCAAACAACTTTCCTCCTTTGGAAAGACATCCACAGCCAAACCACCCTGGAATGAGTTACAGTAAACAGCACTATATCTTACAGGAGCAAGAAATATTTACAAATACTGGTCAACATGGAAATTTACTGCATTCGGAATCACAAGCGGAAGCTTTAGGCATTAAGACTTGGTTGCAACACAAATATCATTCTCATGGGTGACCACACTGTTAACAAACTGAATTACAACATAAATTTGGTTTTTAAACGCTTCAAACTGAGTAAAAAAAAAAAAAAAAAAAACATACATTTGGAATGCATTTTAAAGCTTAAAAGCAATCGGAAAGAACCGTTTTTAATATTACTGTTGACATTAGATATTTGGCCCATTAGTTTGGAAACAAAAAAGAGATTTTACGTGATACAAAGACGGAAAAAATAGATGGATATTTTCATAATTATGATTGTTATGTTAGTAAATTGCATGCAAACAGTGTATTTATCATTCGTTTTTACAACAAATGAGAGCTCCCGGTTTTCAGAGAAGATATTTCACCTCAGCTGAACGTTTAGTGTTGACGCATATTACTAAATTACTCAAAACTACGCTGACAAAACGCCCAGATAACAAACACTTTTTTTTAAATTCTTTCGGATCACACTTACAAACGGGCAGAAAGACGTTTTTAAGTGTGATGCAGAACAGAAAACTCTACTTGCATTGCCTCTTTTTGTTCATAAGCACTTTAAAAAAAGAAAACAGACACTCAAGGAAACAAACTGGTTAAAGATGTTCCACTGAGGTGAAAATCAGATGGGAGGCAGTGTCTTTTTTTAAAGAACGGTACCACAACAACATGCCAGAAGTCTGTACAGTAAACTGAAGCATTCACAGTAACACAACGTCAGACAGCGTCTTCTGTCTGAAGAGTACCAAGTTTTCTTCTGTAGATTGTTGTTACAACTGCATGCAAAGTTACTGAAGGCAACGTAAAGAAAATCTATTCACCTCGAACAAAACAAGATCACTATGGAAGTGCCCAACGGTGGAGATGGAGTGTGGCTGCAGCAGCCTGTTGCACCGGCTTTGTGTTAATTCAAACGTAGGTCAGCTGGACTGTCAGTTAAAGAGTTGGGCTTTAATTTCACCGAAACCAGCTTCACTATACGAGTTAGTCAAGAGTTTGGAGTTTAAGAGAACTTTGAAGCAGGTGTGATGCTGGACGGACACTGCACTGATTAAGAGGAACATTTTTTTATGTCATGTATTTTTTTCCTTCCTTTTCAAAACCTGGTGGCCGAATTACCCACAATGCACCAGCTAATGTAGCCTCTACCCTGCAACAGTACAGTACAGTAAACACACATAACATGTTTTCTCAGGCCCCAACTGAGACAATTTATCAGACTTCACGCAGCTTCAGTCATCAAAAGCTTTGTACAGAAAGCAGCGCACGTGAGCTAACCAGCGGCGCGCTAACATGCACATAAAGCATGAAAAAAAGCACAGAGGAAGAGCGACTCAGATAGATATCACTCCACTATAACTCATAGTGTATGACTCATAACACGTGTGATTTTGAGGTGCGTTCACAGGAGGTGGGAATTGCCGCTTCCCACAACTTCTAGTATGTTGTTTATAACAGAAACTTGTAACTGTTGAGGTTTACACTTTGGCTCTTAAGACTTTTATTGATGCCAGCTCAGTAAATAAACACCAGAGAAGTAGTCGATAAATAATAAGGTGATGTTAGTCGGACAAACGCGTGTTGTATTAAGTTAAGAGGATAACTGTCCTTCACTAGTCAGTAACGCTGGCTTACGTTTGCTTAGTGTTGATTTAGCTGCGACGTATCAGTGGTTTAGTTTGAGTTAACACTTGAGGTCAAAGTTCAGCTGGTGCAACAGGCTGCAGACCCTTCAAAATAAAAGATCAAAATAAAAACATCTGTATATGTGGAATGATATCGATGAAAGCATTCTTAATTTTTACTGAGAACAATGTTGATGGGAGTGTCCATTCAATTTCTTAGCTTGATTTTTTTTCTGCCTTCACAATAAAAGCACATGGAGACGTCATGCTTTCAGAGGACAAGAAGATGAAGAGAAGGAAAAGAGAAACTGCACCGATTTTTGTCCCTGTTGAAATATATTCCCACCCTTCCCAAAGAGCAGCTGATCGAGAGGTCTGATACTTTACTGTGTTTATATTTTAGGTTTTTGTTTTTTTGGTCCCCTGTTCCTCTTCAGTTTTTACGAATGTCAGCGTAGACCACTGGCTCGTTCTTGTGGAATGAGGTTTTGCTGCCTGAGTGATCCAACTGGGCGTATATCACCGGGCCCTGAGACACAACGTGAGAGGGAGGAAAAGTAGTCAGTAGAAGAAAAACAGGACCTTCGTTTCTTTACCATACTATACTGTACTATACCATACTACACTATACACACCTGGTTAAACGTCTACAAAGAGCCTCTAACGAGTGAATAGCAGATTACATACATTTTACATAACAAAAGACTTTCTTCTGAGTTTGAAGCTTCATTAGTGATTAAATACAAAGTTAAAAAACAGCTGATTAATTAATTAGTCAATCTACTGTTTCGATAATTTCATATCGCTAAAATTTCGTTTTTTGCAGCCCAAGTTATTGTTACAGGTTGTAAGTCATTATTAAAGGGATAGTTGGGATATTTTGGAGTGTGGTTGTATGAGGTACTTCTTCATAGTCAGTGTCATTACTACAGTAGATGAAGTAAAGTAATGTACTGCTGTAGACGTCCTTTAGACCCCTAAAAGAATCAATATCAGTTTAAGTGAACGCTATATTTATAATGTTTTCACCCGATTACCTTGATGTCAGACAGACCTTTATGACGGGGAACTAAAGTTATCTATATCTCTTAAAAACCACCAGACTTCATTAACGAAAGCAATGTTTTTAAAGTATCTAAAATACGTTTTGCTGCGGCCTCGTCTACAGCAGGACATTGCTTTTGCAAAAAAACGTGCATTCCCCAAAATGACACGGTGACATGAAAGTGATATTCATCTTCTCATCTTAAACTCTGCAGGAAAACAAATAAATGATTTAAACTTTTCTTTAAGTCTACGGTTTACTTTAACTTGTTTTGGTAATTTAACATTCTTCTCACATGATCTTAAATTCTACTCTTGTGGACAAATGACATATAAACTAACTTTAACAGATCTACTGTTGGACGTTTTTTTACCTGATTTTACGATTTGAAGCAGATTCTGAGTATTACATTGACGAGGGTATTGAATGAATATTACAAACGGTGGACAAAGATCCAGCCGGGTTGAAATAAAGAACATAAATGCAACATATTCCCAGTGGAACGTGTCCACCAGTGGATTGTTTCCTGTCCCCCAGACTCCTACCTGTAGTGGACCCGAGGGATCGGTAGACCTGGAGACCTCCAGGCTGGACTCCACCTTCTTTCGTGGTTTGGGAGCCTGAGAGCTCACGCTCTCCAAGGACGTACATCTATTTGTTTGTTTTTACGATTTGCCGTGGTGTCGAGCAATCATTGGTGCACAGTCAAATGGAGACAAACACAAATAAATGGGACACAAGACAAGAAAATAAAACAATGAGCGATGAGCACATGAAACACACTGGAAGCAAACACTGCAGCTCCCAGTGGAGGTAGAAGCAGTGAGGAGACTAGAGGTGCACTGCTGGGATTCAAAGTGAGATCCGACTGGTTTCACATGTTAAAACTACAGATTATTATTATTATTATTATTATTATTATCCCCTGGGATGAATAAAGTATATATCTATCTATCTATCTAATGTGTTCTTTATTTTTATAAAGAACACATTTTTTGCTGGTCTTTTTATATTTATGAGTCTTTTTAACTAGAAAGCTCTTTATAATTAATATTATATTATTGTTATTCCTAGAGTTGCAACAATTAGTTGAATAATTGAGCATTTGCATGTTTTTGCTTCTCAAACGTGAATTGTACGAGCACCTTTTATCGTTTTCTGACACTTTATAGAACTAAGAATGAATTGATGATAATAATCTGAATATTCTACAATGAAAATGATGTTTAGTTGCAGGTCTGGTGCTCAACTAAGTCATTGCCGACTTCTTGAAACGTGGCGACCTTGCTGAACGAGCAGTCGTACGATTACTTTCCTTTTCAGTTCCTGTTCAATTTAAACTATTACTGTAATGAACTGGAATTTGATGGCGAGCTAAAACGAAACTTGGCCGTCGTCGGCTTTGTGTTCAAGCCGGCGTCTGAAGTCAGCCGAAGATCCTTTATGACGATAAAGAAGCATCACCGACTGTTTCTTTGTTGTTCAAATAACTCCAACAGAGTGAGACCTCTTCTCTCTCGATGATCGTCAACGTCAGGATCGTGAGAATTAGAATCAAAGAGCTCATCAAAAATAAGGAATGTCAGATTTAGAAGAATACAGCTTCAATGTGTCAGATACAAATTTAAACTAAAAAGTATTAAATCGAACAATATTAAAGAACTTGTTTTTGGGTTGGAGCCAAATGAAACCTGATCGGGACGTCCCAACTCTTAACTTATGGTGAACTTCACTCTGGGCTCTTAGAAATGAAGGTTTTCTTTTCTCTATTTTATGATGTTTTACAGACAAAACAACAAATTGATAAACGAGAGAATTATCGGCAGATTAATTGATGATGAAGATAAACGTCGGTGGTAAATGTAACCAAGTACATTTGTACTAAATACATATTCTAGGTACTTGCAGTTAACTAATGCATAATATTGTTTACTTTTCCTGTTTTAAACACATTTTGCTGATATTACTTTCATACTTTTACATGCAGGACTTTCACGTGTATTGGAGTATTTTCACTTGTATTGGAGTATTTTCACAGTGTGGTATTAGTACTTTTACTGCAGTGAAGGATCTGAATACTTCTTCCATCACTGGTTGGTCAATAGAAGGTTGTCAGTGCACCTCTAGTGGAGACAATGTATAACAGTCTGTACAGTAAGAGAAGCAGTTCATAATGAGCCGGTAACATTTCAAAATGACGCTCAAACTACAAACATTCTGCTGATCAAAGATGTTTCTTTGCTTGTTTTGTTTTTTTTTAAAGCTGGGGATGAAGGGACACACGTGAAGAAGAAGACGGTGGTTAGTTTTGCGTGTTAGTGGACAAAGATGATCGATGACAACATGCCGACAAGCTGAAGACGAGCTCATCAATGACGTGACGATAATCAATGAGTCAGTCGTTAGTCAACAAACAGAGATGGAGGAAAGTGACCGGCACCAGTGAAAACCCCAAAAAAGATCAGTGCTTCAAACCATCCAACAGCCAAACAGCTTTTTTAAACATTTTTTATTAATTGCTAATTTCTACACGTACGCCATCGCTCATAATGAAGGATCAATATGTGATGCAGTGTTCTTCAGCAGCATGCGAGGCAGACGTGGTCAAAACTTCCTCCAGCACACAGAAAAGTGTTGATTCTGACTTTAAACAAACTTGTTAATAATTAGTAAACGACATCAGATCATCACCCAAATAAAAGAAGTAGAAGAAGAAGACGGCCAACAGGTTTGTTCTCCACACAGAGCGTGATCTCTGCTCTCATGCAGACAGAGTTAGACGAGGAAGTTTAATATTTAAACACACGACGCTCAAAATCCATCTGAGGAACTTACCTGATACATTTTAACAACAGCAAACACTGAGGATATTTATTTATATTTATTTATGATCAGCTCCTTTTATTTGTTAAATTAGAATAATTTTAATTTAATTCATTATAATAATAAAAGTATAAAATAAAGCGTTAATGTAAAGTATTTGTCAACAATTATACTTTCTCCCTCACACCGATTTATATATTTAAATATTATACTATTTTTTATAAAATATATTATATTTGTAATATTGCTGTACTGTGCTGAAAGTACCATGTTACAAATATTCCCGTTATTTAAGGTGTCGTGTGGCTGCATGAGCGCCGGTCCTTCAGCCTGTAATAATAATAATAATAATAATAATAATAACAATAACAATAATAATAATAATAATAATAATAAATGTTTAGACACTCACCCTTCATATTCATGGCGGTTGTGAAGAACCCTCATGGTGACGCAGGCAGCCACAGCGATGAGGACAAGCAGAAGTAAAGCGCCACTGACCGCTCCCACTATAATGGCGGTGTTGCTCTGAGGGAGAGATTCTGGAGGAAAATACATAAAGACGACATTTACCACCGCGTTCAAAAACCATCTGATGCTCATTTCTGTCTTTATTCTAACTGTGCGTACTCCACAGTCATGGTCTATTGTTTTCTGGTGACATCTAGTGGTGAGGCTGCAGATTGCAGCCAACTGAACATCCCTCCGCTCACTCCTCCGGTGACACGTTAAGAGCAACAGAAGTCACGTTACCGATGTTTCACAAGAGAACTACGGTGGCCTGCAGGGAACGTAAAAACAAACACACAAACGTCTCTCTTAAGCCGACCGTAGAAACGTGGCGGTGCAACATGTCAGACGTGGTTAAGAAGACTTGCTCCCATGTGTACGGTTCTTAGTTTCAGGTGATTATACACTAATGAGAACATAGTTATGAATATTATATTACATTTCTGTCATTAGATCCTTAGAAGTGAGACACGCTGACCCGTAAAACAAAGAATAAAGCTGCCACACACACCAAATGCAAGTAAAATGGCACAAGAAGCTCTAAAACTACTCAAAATATTATTAGAAAAGTCAGAGATTGTAATACAAATATAAATGTTTCCTGTTATGGCAGAGAAAAGTGTGATTACTTACGTCTGAAATGGTTTTAAATGTTAATATTTAATATGATTTTATCCAAACTTTGTGCCGATTAATAGCTCAAAGTTATAAAATGTCTATTTAAACACATTTTCATGGTCTACAGATGAGATAAAAGCCCAACCTCAGCACTTTAAACTGGTTTTCTCTGCCTGTCTCTTCATGGTGTGTAAATAAAGTTTTGTTTTATTGTACATAAAAGACAGTCTGGCCATCCAGCAGCGACAAAACCTCTGTGTGATCAAGGGGAATACTTATACATCTCTTTGTAAGAGCTGTAAAAAAAACTTCATAGTCAAACATAATTAAATAAACACACAGACGTCGTCTATTCAGGCTCTTCCCAGGTACGAATCCCAGTTAAAGAACGATCTCCCACCTGGAGGGTGGGGCAACCGCCGCTGAGCCAAAAGATAACAAGCCGTCACACGCACGAGTGGGCCTCATGCGACTGAAAGACAAATGGCAAGGATTGACCTGCTGGAACACATTTTATAAGAGGAGAAACCTGCAGCAGAAATCTGCTCGAGATACAACTCAGATGAACTCACCTTTGATAACCCGACAGCTTTGACGCAGGTGTTTGTTTGTTTGTCGTCCTAAAGATCATAAGTTTAATCTTTATTTCCAAAATGAGTGAGAACAATGCAGATGTCATTTCAAATGTGTGAATCTGGACGTTCAAATCAACTCCCGGTTACAGAAGAGAAGACACAACATCGACTAATACACCAGAAAATCAACAACGAGCTGAAAAATGTGCCTTTAAAATCGGTTTAAATTGAGCTGGTTTGAACGGTTTAGATCGGCGACCACGCTGGTGAAAAGTAATTACATTTTCACCATCAGTCTTCCTGGAACTGTCATTTCAAACAGTTCCTTCCTGCTGCTCTTGTTTCCCATTAAAAGCTTTTCAAAAAGCCAAATGAGACGAATGCTTTCATTGCAAAGCAGACGACGCATGATGCCATCGCTCACTTATGGATACTTTAAACTTGCACTCTTGCTGCACTAAATTTTCCCTCGCGACAAATAAATGTCATCTAATCTCACGCACACAACGAGCACTTTCTCTTGGAGCCGTTTTGAACATTGCATGCAGGAACAGTGTCAGAAGAAACAGCCTCAAAGTGCTGATGAGGCGAAAAGGAACCGGTTCTACGAGCAAACATCCAACACCATGGATACCGAGGTAAACAGCTCCTTATACCCTCCTGTGGGATGGAAAGTCACTCACTCTGTGTGTGCATTGCTCATGAAGATCCAGTACTTTACGTTCAACATTGGGCTTTCACACACCTGTTGATCTCGGTTCAAAGCCGACTAAAGAAGATTTAAAGGTAATCCTATCGGGTTTAAAACTAGATTTAACTTAAACTGTTATTTAATCGAGGTTTTAATTCATTCTAGGTGGTGCGACCCTCCCGCCACAAAGCCTCGCTGACGGGGAAAAGACCGAGTCTTTGCCTGGAAACATGGCGGATTGAGCACAAAGAAGCTGCAGCTTCACTGCGTTTATTCACGCTCAGTCCAATCAGAGTGGGAGCTTAGAGAGAGTCAGCGAGTGGGTGAAGACAACGGACAAGTGTCTTCTGGTCAAGGCCACACTCTCATAACATAACAAGGTAGGTACGCAGGTACATAAAGAAAGTCTTGTGGACTCACAATCTTTAAGTATATCTGCCTCAAGGTGAAACTGATTTGCATAGAAAGACATCCTTCACAATAAATATGTTTCAAAGCATCATTATAGTGAGATTTTCATCTTTCCGACGGTCCTTGAACACATCCTGTGTAACGAATGCTTCCATCAGAAAAGAAGCTTAAAATCCTGATATTTTATTAAAAACATTTTACTCTACGCGTCTCATTTTAAATCTCGCACCGAATAAACCGCTTGCTTTAACCAGATTCTGTAAAAAACATTTAATTCTGAGCTCATCAGCGTAACTATGAAGCCGTGATTGATTCTCCTGAGACAAACAGTCACGTGACAACAAATGTAAACTGTGAGACTGAATTACAGCCGGCTGAAGATTTGAGGACAGGAGCGGCTGTAAGAATCGATATAATTCAATATGTAGAGCCTCAGTCTTTGTCCAACATTGTTACCACTTGTGGACACTTGTTGGATATTTAGGCGTCACCTTTGACAACGACCCGGAGCTCCGTTCGTGCCGGCGTCCCCGTCACGTCCGGCGGGTTCTTCACGTCACAGAAGAAGGTCCCGTTGTCGCTGAACTGAGCCGGGTTCAGCTGTATCGAGACGTCCCTCTTGTTTATGTCTCCAATAAACTGAACTCTGTCTTTGAACTCGATGTGTCCCGGGAACCCTTTCCCGTTGGAAAAGTAGAAAATCTACAAAAGAAGGGAAGAAAACCAAAAGTTAAGAGTCAGAAGATAAAATGTTTTAGCTGAGAAAGAGCAAAACACAAAAAATTATGTTTTTATATTTTAAATGTTCCCGTATGTCTTTTAGAATGGATTTTATAAATATTAGAACAATAACTTATGATAGGAAAAAATGCCCAAACCAACTCCGCCTTCTAAATGTGAGGATTTGATGCCTTTTGGGGTTCATACATGAAATAATACATGAGTACGATCTGATCCTTTTATTCCCTTAAATGTCAAATAAAATATCCATTGTACACAGCCTTCTACAGTCGACCCGCTTTATTCTTTCTGAGCCGTTTGATCCAGGTACTGAAACAAATATATATTTAAACAGAACAAAGAAAATATTCTCTCATTCTGTCAAAACAAGCAGATTCTGGATCAACAGGCTCTTTTCACAGCAGACATTTTGACTCACGTGATAATATAATAATAATAATAATAATAATAATAATAATAATAGTAGATTAGATTTAAGTGTCCCAGTAAACCAGCATGAACTAAACCAGGACCCTGAACCTGAAGCAGGCATCATTGATTTTACAACAAACAGCTGTTTATGAGCGACACTGAAGTCCTCACAGTCGCGATAAATGATCTTTGTATTTTATTTAAGCGTCCTCAACACTCATCTGTCTCCGGCTCAAACAATGAACACTGCCGTTCTTGTGAAGCGTTGCTTTTATTGCCGAGTCAGCTGTTTAAACAGAGCTCTAACAATAGAAGAAGAACTTCTATTGTATTAAATTGATATCACTTTTACTTTGTAATAACAAAAAGAATACTAAAGACTGAAACTGAGTTATCAAACGTACGACTACATTACAACATTTCTAGCACTGCAGAGGTGGAAGCTGACGCTAAAGCCACTTAATTCATAGTCAATCCGGGAAAATATAGAACATAAAATAGTTATTCTTGTCTGGACGGAGAGAAAAAGATGCTTTTTAACCAGGTGAGTGTGAATGTTGTCCATGTTTTGACTGCATGAATGTGTTCTGACATGAATCCTGTAACATTAAAGAAAACCCCTCCGGCTCCGGCTTTATGCTCCGATCACAGCAGACGAGCAGCTCGACTGGTCTGTGAACGTGAAGCTGAAGGAATTGAGGACGGAGGACGGATCCACAATCCGCCCCACGAATGAACAGCCGACTCTCTAAGATAAACTGTTTACATTCTGCTCAATGAAAAAGTCTTTCTTCTGTTATTAATACCTCAAACATGCACCATAACTGTTATTTCTTCAGGTTTAAGTGTGTGACATTCGTAAACACGAATAGAATCACAATCATACGAGCTGCTCATTATGTTCACTGACAGCTTTAGCACTTAACAGTTAATCTTTCATTGTTTGAACATGACACACACGGCTTCATCAACTGTAGAAACTGAGTCCTGCAGCTCTGAAACTGAAACTGTTTACAGAAGAGCTTTGTGTCACAAGAATACAGAAAACAAACAGGAACACTGAAGAAACACAACCATGAGAGTGAATTATGATGCTCAAACACGATAAACAGATGAAAACAAACAGATGACGGCACTGCAGTGACACAAAGCTGGAAGCAGCAGAACAATACTCACATTAAAACAAACACAAGTGAAAGTGTAACCGGCTGCGTAGTGAAACCACGCCAGAGGAGCAGCTCTTCATGTGTCGCTGCAGATAACAACAATCGCAGGAAAACATCCCGGAGCGGAAAAACAATCATTTTAAATAAAATGGAGCAGCGAGGACTCACCGTGTACGGAGCTTTGGAGAACTGGTTGTCAGGCTGACTGGACTGGAAGCTCCAGGTCACCGAGGTGGAGCTGCTCACCACCTCGCTGGACTTAAAGGTGCACCGGAGGGTCCCTGTGGTCCCGTTCTGCATCATCACCTCGGAGGCGGCGTGGATGTCGATCGCCGACGAAGGTTTCGTAGCTAAGTTAAATAAAAACATGTTATAAAAGAAGGAAATACAACATAAACACGAGCACAGCCTGGATGTTTTTAGAGGGGATGTGTTGTGTTGTTTCAGGTAGCGGAGAGACAATGAAATACAGTCCAGGACGTCCAGTGTGAGGAGCAGGTTAAAGACTTTAAAGCTTCTCAGACGTCAAAACAGCGTTTGTGATATTCACAGGAGGGAAATCACAACCATCACGAGGTAAACAAGTAGAAATATGGAAGCAGTCTACTAATCATTTGGTCAATAAATCGTGAAAAACACATTTTCCCGGAGCCCAATGTGACATTTTCAATCAGCTTCTTTACAAATATATATTTCTAGAGTTTACTTTTCATAGAAGACGACCAAAACTAGCAAAATACTCACATTGTTGTTTTCTTTGCTTTGTTTCCCCTTTGTGTACTAAAGTGTCCACTGATTGTACACGTTAGACCTTTAACCATTATGTCCCCTACGTTATGACATTTTAAAAGTTTTAAACATTTTGCAATAACATGTATTGCTCCCCCCACCCCCCCCGACAACAAATGATGAAGTTTGTCTATTTCTCACTCGGTTCATCTCTTCATATTCATCATATTTATTGCAGCACGATGGTTTTTGTCAGTGCAGCACACAGACGGACCAACACTCCATCTTTGTTCTTACCAACTTCCTGTCAACCCCGCTGACTTTAAACACACCAAAAAGCATCTAGCGGACTGAGGAAGCAATAGTTACCAAAAGGTTGTATTTGCATTTGTAATATTAATAGTTTATATAATAAAAGATCGATACTTGGCGTCCGTGTATTGATACATTATTATTACTTTAACCCCTAATATCTTTGTGCCTCTGACAGTATTTATGATCGGCCTCTTTGTACCAGTTTTAAAATACAAACATTCACATTTGGAAATTACTGAATTACTTCCCACTCATTAATAATGTTTGATTTACTGCATTGATTTATGAATTTATTTTTGACTGATTTGAATGATGAACACAACGTGTTGTATTTATCGTCTGTTCATTTGTTTGTGCACATTATTAATTTAAGAGCATGAACAACTAATTTGTGCATTAAAAAGACGCCTGAGAGGCTCTCTGCTGAACAAATCCACATCATGTTCTTGAGAAGTTTGTTAGAAGTGACAACAGACAGTCTAGAGTCCACGGACACAACCGGGTTTATAATTGTTAGTTCTGAGAACAAAGCTTACTGATTAATAACGTGGACAGACTGAATGTCACACAACTGGAAATAGTCAAACTCTGACGCATGACTTTGACATTTGCTCCCATAGAGGATCTAATAATAATAATAATAATCAAATAACTATGATGTAAATAAAACAGGAGCGCAGATTCTTCCTGTCCTCTGCACTGAAGCCTGCTCAGCATTAACACCACATTCTGTGACAGAGATCCGTCTGCAGCAGGAAACACATTTAAAAGCAGAAGAATCTCTTCTGTCAGCAATCAGTTGAAGATAATTCCTCAGTATTAAAAGGGAAGGAAGCGTTGCTCATACGTTTCCTCAAGTCAGACGTTATTTAGTCTGAGATTCAAACCACCAGCGCACTTCTGCTATCCATCGCTGCATGACATGAGTCACACATCATGCACATCCTTCTTAAACACACCAGATAACACCTCAGATACAGAGCTAAATATACAGCGTCTGACTGATTATTTAGGGTAAAACATGTTTATTATTATGCAAATGAGGAGCTGATGGTTTTGGTGATGTTCTGATAAACCAGCCGTTAGCACAACGTAGCTATTAAAAAAAGACCGAAACCAATGTGTGTTTACTGTCCAAAATATCTATAGAGAGAGAGAGAGAGACACACACAGAGAGAGAGAGAGAGAGAGAGAGAGAGAGAGAGAGAGAGAGAGAGAGAAATACAGAAAGAGAGAGACATGGAGAGACAGAGAGAAGAGATGGATAGATAGATAGATAGATAGATAGATAGATAGATAGATAGATAGATAGATAGATGGTGGATAGAGAGATGGATGGATAGATAATAGCTTTACTATCTGGGTCAGGAGGAGGTTATCCAACAAGGAAATAGGATGTTATTGTTATCTTTGTTGGAGCTCGTCAAGGTAGAGTCGAGCACTGTGTTAATAAAAGAAAACAGCTGATAATTTTATGACATCGTTATAGTTAATATTAACTATGTTTTAAAATCACAGTTAAACACTGAACAACGGCTGGTTTAGCTTAGTAACGCTACATGTGACCCATGTCACCGACGACACCGTTATTCACAAACCTAACACTTTAATCTGGTTTTGTTTATCGGCTAAAACCGCTCCCTGATAGCACACGTTTATAGACTTTATCTGTGTGACTAGAAGTCACTCTTTAATTCGGCATATGTCCAACACACCCAGCGGCCTTTATTTAGGCTGAATACCACCGAGTACACACTGGTTAGCCTCCGTGTTTAACGCTGTTGTAACGTCGCTAGCTAAGCTAACCTGATGTCACACCTTTAAATACTGAGCTCAAAATCAAACATTTCTAAATATATATTAAACACAAGATGGACTCCATCACTCACCTAATACAACACATAGCGTAAATCCAGTCAATAACACACGCTTGCAGATGATATTTGACCATTTTGGCTCCATTATGTTGTTGTAAACAGGAGTAGTTTCCTCTGCTTTCTTTTTTTTTTTTTTGTCCACCCTCTTTCGTTTCTTCTTCGTGGAAAGTTGCGTGCGGCGGTTGCGCAGTTGTAAAAATGCGACTGTTGCCCCCTACCGGTCTAGAAGTGCTATTGCGGCTTGTGGCTGCATTGCACATTGAGATTAACCAGATATTTTCAAATAATAAACACAGAATAAAGAAACAAACTGTAAAAGAATGAATAAAAAATATATATAATTACTATAATTAAAAATAATTAATGTTTTGATTGACATAAAAAGCCACCGAAAATTACAAGTATTCAAGACTGAAACAGCATTTACATCTCTGCTGCATGCTTAAAGACATATTATTTTAGCTGGAGCTGATTTATTATTAATTAAGAAAAATAAAGAAATCTGGATCTGGGATGTTTATCCTAAACCGGATGCCATTTAATTTGTCAGCAAACGAGAATATCGGTGTAAATCTTATAATGTAAAATATAATAATGCTTAAAATGGAATGATTAAAGCTGCATGTGGAAGCTCAAACTGTGCACTCTTGAGTCAATATTAAGAAGCAACAAATAAATGTTCATTCACAGTAAAGGGCAAAAACAAATCATAAGAAAAGTCCAATCCACATGATGCTCTTTAATATTGGGATTTATTGCAAACAATTATTTTTGTTTATGATGTGTTGCATCATAAACAGATTAATATTTATATTTGATGTTGTGAAGTTTTACTCGTAATGAAACCGTTGACTGAACATGTTATGAAAACTACAAAAAGCAGATTTCTTCAAAAAAACGAATCATTTCAGCTCATATTTCATATTCAAGCTGTGTTTTATTTGTCGTGACTTTCTATTTATACTAAAAGCAGAGTGGTGGGCGGTGCACCTTCAGACTCAAACACAAATTTAACACCTCATTTTCAACATCGACTCCAATCATATTCGGGATTCAACATACATTGTTTTTTGTAAAGAATTCATTCATGTTAGACCAGAAATTAACAATATCTGTGATGACGAAGCAAGAATCTTCACATTAATGTCGTATGAGCCACGAGTCACAGGTGTTAAACAGACATTAAATTAGAGGGACATTAAATGTCACAAATGAAATTAAAAACACACCAAGCTAAAATGCAAGGCCGTTCAGAGGAAAAACAACAACATCCAGATCTCACGCTGTAAAATATCTTCTTTTACATTCACCAGTTCTCAGGTTTTTAGTCCGCAATCACACAAGCAAAAAGAAAACAAACAAACATAGTTTTCCTGTCAGTGCAACTTCAGGCCGATTTGCCCAAAACATCCTCTCACAACACATTGCCGGAATCTTTCATAAATATCAACTCAAGATATCTACAGTATAGACATATGCAACAGGAGGAAATGCAAATCATGCACGTTAAACAAAAACAACAGTGATCGACGCGTCCTTGAACCTCACAAAGCTGCTG